ATACAAGAACTAGGGTGTAGGCCAGAAGTGGGGGGGGGGCGGGCGGGGGAGAGGTTAAGAGTAGTCACCAGAGTCAGAGTGGAGAGCAGAACAGGCAGATCAACTGAAATACACTGCCTAGGGGTACAGTGGGTAAGATAGGCAAAGTCTGCTGTGACAGGTGGGTTAGCTCCCAGCTGAACTCAGTGGCTGGCTGGTGATAGTTTGATAGTGCTGAGACTTTAACCCCTGTGCCACCAGGGAGGCCCAGGGACACAATCTTGAGAACCCCCTTAAGGCATATTTGCTGGACCTCTCCTTACTGGCTGCATGAACATCTGGATCCACCTCTACCTTCTGCTCAGGATCTGAACCAGTTGCTGCAGCATCTCTGCTGTAATCGCCACCCCTCTGTTGTGGCAACCATAGGAACTGGCTTTTAAAGCTCCCAGAATAGATTTCTGTTCCTCAGTGAGCTCCCTTCTATATCTGACCATGCCCTTTTTCACCCTGAACTTTTCACGTTCAAGCTAGGAGCTAATAGGCCTCCCTGCCCCACTTCTAGCTGGCTTCTGCTCAGACCAATTTAGCCTCCAGATCCCTGATCTTTTGTCCTCTTTCCTTTCAATCCAAAGAAGCAATTAGAAGAAAAAACATAAACAGCAAAATCTGATTTCACCATCTCTACCATATTCCCCTCCAAAACAAAGCAGCAAACTGAAATTTTGGTCACCTGTAATTGAGCAACTTAAGTGACTTAAGTTGCTGAGTGGGAGAAAACATAATTTAACCTATGTTGTCAGGTCCCTTCCTTTGAAATTCTGAGACTGTATTTGGGAAAATGTGGGTCCCGGGCTATTTAGCGGCACCAATACTCCCTCTGCTGGTAGAATTGGAACACTGGCATGTTCCTTCTCCAAGTCTTACAGCCTTCCAGGACCTTTTCTTTATTGTCTCAATTCACTCTGATCCACCTTCTCTCTCCTTCCCTCTCTCACCCCACTTTCATCTCCAATTACTGTCTACTTTTTAATTGCAACATAACTGGACTCCATTGAGCCCACAGTAGTGACTGCAGATCCTGCCTGTTGAGCAAGCCTGCTGGGCTAAATTGGAGGAGGACAGAATTGGTAGAGAAGAGCGAAAGATCAGAGAGTGAAAGGCAAAAGGGTGGAAAGTAGGAAAGTATGAATGGAGATAGGTATCAGGAATTAAAAGATCAAAATAAAATAGAAAAAGAATCAAGAGGTCAGGGGATGGGTTTGAGAAGCTTGAGGAGAGATCAGAATGAGGATATAAAACTAGAAGAAATGACAACAATGGAAGGTATAGGGAATAGTTTATTCTTGTGCACAAACCAAAGTGACACACACCCAATATGCCAAAAAAAAAAAAAGTTGGTTTCTAGTTCAAGCAGCAAATGTGACTGGTGGTCACATTGTGAGGGGAGTCCATACCCTTTTTGGATCATAGATCAAGACCTGAAGCTGAAAAGGAAAAAGGGCTAAGGTTTGAGGGATAGGGCAGGACTGAAAAAAGATTTTGGCTGTAAGAATTTCCTAGTGCTTTCCCAGGTAGTCATGATGATAAGCCGCAGAAGACAGGAACAAACTCAAAGGAGGTAGCAGATAGTTTTTTTCAACACTCAGCCCACTTGCTCATGTCCCTTCCCAAACATGCCCCTTCACTCTAACAAATAGACTGTTCTCCCTCATATTTTCCCTCAATTCTCCTCTTACACATAGTTGGTTTCTTGTTACCCACCTTTAATATCTGCCAACAGTGCCCTCTCCCTCATCATGCTCCTCTCTGTGAAACAGCCTCATTCATTTCAGTTCTGCGTGGTTTACTTTCCACGCCATGGAAAGCTCTTTTCTCCCTCCTTTGTATTAAGCTGTGAGGCAATAAAGTCAATGATTTTTTCATGCTCAGGGGGAAAAAATTCAGTTCCTGGATGCTTCTTGCTTAGGATGACCTCTCAAGTTGCTAACTTTCTTAAATCATGAGGAATAGAATTCTTAGTTCTGTTCCAGGTCTAGCTGGTATAATTCAATCCATAAAATTGCCCTGAACCCTTAAGTCTTCTCATACTCTACCAGTTTCTTAGGACACTTGCTGCCAGCTCTGTAAATATCTTTCTCTCTACTAGACGATCAGTACAGGAATATCTATCTCACCCACCCTCCACCCCCTTCATCAGTTCAAGGGAAGATCCAGATAGGGTATTTTTGTTAGACTCCTCCCCTTACTCTTGCCTCAGGCAGAAAAGCACATCTGTGCATACACATATACTTACACACACATGCACACACACATACCCCTAGGTGTGTGCTAACCTAGCTTGGGAAAAAAGAGTAAGGAGTAGAGAGTTACTTAGTTGCAAACAGGGGCCAATTCAGTCCTTTGCTACCTGTCTAGTGGTGGTCTTGCTTGAGATCTCAGTGGTAACTTCATGTGCTTCTTATTGAATGTTGAAATAAGGCCCACAAAGAAAAAGCACCAATGTGAAGACATAGAGACCAGTGAAGGCGTGTGGGAGGGGAGCCCTAAAGATAAAGACAGAGATATAGGCAAGGACCTAGAGGGACAAAGAGAAGCACCAATACCAAAGCAGAGATAGAAGACGGAAAGCAGGAAGGATGTTGGAAGGCAGCTGGGGGATGGGACAGTAACTCCAAAACCATCTGAGGCAGGAGTGAATTTAGCCTCCAGATGCCTGAGAGAGCAGATGGATGGGTAGGAGAAGCAACTTTAGGAACTGGGTGTTCTAACTCTCCTTGGTCCAGGAAGCTGTGACCTGCTCAGTGATGACCTGTCCCAGGCCTCCACACATGAGCCTGCAATCCCGTTCTGGTGGCTGAAAACCTGGGCCTGGCTACCTGGAAACCGCAGGAGCTAGGAGAGGCCCCAAGACTCCTGGGAGACTCAGGAGGCGGGGCTGGGCTCTGGATAGGGGTTGAGGCCAGTTCTGTCCTCCATATGGGCTCATCCAGTGTAGTGGCTGCTCGAGGAGCAAGCACAGTGGGGGCTAGGGGCTCTGCAGTAGGCTGGGGTGCTGGAGTGGAAAATCGGCGGATTTCCTGGACTCGGGCAGTTTTAGGGGTCCCTGAAAAAGTGGGGCCAGGAGTTGGAGGAACCTCATCAAAACAGAACATAGCAGTTTTAAGCTGGTAGGGCTGATGTCTCATGAAGTCAAGAGCCTTGATACCCTGCTTGGGGGTTGCCTGAGGCCCTTGGAATTGGCCCTTATTAGGGAGGGTTCGGGCAGCTTGGGGAAAAAAGGGTGATAGCAGTGGATTGTAAGCAATAGGAGGTGGGGCACGTATATTAGGTGAATATTTCCAGGATGGTGGCAGTGATGGGGTAGGGGAAGGGCTTCTGGGTCGAAGACTAGGGCCAAAGCCAGGGCCAGGTGTAGCTTCTATTACATATCTGTCTGCTCGGCTCTGCCGTTTGGCAAACAGCTCCCCACCCCGCCCCTGAAGCTTTGGTGTCTCCGAAGGGGCTCCCCCATTCACTAACCCATCAAAGAACCCTCTAGACTGGGGCTTAGGAGCTACTGGGGGTGGAGTCTTGGGTGTCACGGGGGGTGGGGTCTTCGGAGCCACTGGAGGCGGGGTTTTAGGTGTCAGAAGAGGCGGAATCTTGTAGCTCCTGCCCCCTGGTGGCTGCATGAAATTGCAGGCTTCAGCCCCAAGACTTAGCGCATCCTCCTCCGGACCAGATTCAGCACCGCCTGCCCGGGGTTTTTCATCCAGGTTCTGCACCAGAGATAGGAGCTCAGGGTTGGGCGAGTTCTTCGTCTCCTCGTTTCCTTGCCTGAACATCTGCTTCCTGGTCCCCCGGCGCCGGGCCTCTTGGAGTATCCCCGTGCGGACAGCAGGCACGGAGATGCGCTGCTCCCGAGCGCTGGGGGGTTCCGGGGCCGCGGGGCCAGGGGCGGGCGCCTCTGGTTGCACAGCGGGTCTCAGAGGCGCCGATAGGATAATGGAAGCGGTGGAGGTCATGGCAGCTGCGCTGGGGGGTGACGGGAGCTCTGGGACCCCGCCAGGTGTAACTGGTCGATTAGGAGCTGGGATGTACAGGGAGCTAGTGGCCATCACGGGGCCGGAGGACCGTGAGGTGCTAGGAGGACCTGAGCCTGGCACCTGGCTGGGAGCCTCTGAAGTGAAGCTGGGGGGAGCGTTGGGCCCCTGCAAAGAGGACAAGAAGGGCGGTGGGGCAGGGCTGACACCTCCCTGACTTTCATTCATCTTCTTAGGAGCCTGGGGCCGGAAAATAACTGATGAAGTACTTGACCGCTGCCCTTGTAAACCCGGGGTGAAGGGCCTGGCTGATCGGTTAAACATGCTGGGAGCTGGTGCTGGAACTCCACCGCCTGAGAGGAAGGGTTTGGGACTGGCTACTGAGGGCGGCAGTGGGCTGGCTGGGAGCACAGAAGTCTCAGGAAGGGCACTCTGGGCCCAAGGTGGTGACTGCAGGTCCTGCCCATTGAGCATGGCTGCTGGGCCATCCTTGGCCAGCTCCTGGGTGCTGGTGGCTGCTCGCTGGCGCTGCTGTTCAAAGAGCTGGGCCCCTCTTCCAGAGGTTTCACTCAGTGTCCCTCCCAGCCCCAGGCCTGGGGTGTCTGCTGCACCTGAGGCTGGTCTGGCCAGCTCCATGTCCAGATAGGGGCTGTCCCAGTCAGACTGGTTGGTGAGGCTGCGGGCGTCGGAGAAGGCCTCCTCATCCAGCTCGGACTCACTGGTGGGAGGAACTCCATCTTCCTCTTCCTCAGTACCTGTCCCAGCTGCAACCCCAAAGCTCACTAAGGTGTACTTCTTGGCTCTCTGCCTCCGTTTCTTAAACATAAGCACCCCTTTGGAGTGGGGGTTGGGAGCTGCAGTTAGCAGGGATGCAATTGTCCTGCATTTGGTCTTGGCTTCCTTCACACTCTTCTCTTGAAGACTCTCTGCTCGTTGCAGTTCTGAGGAAGACAGGAGGGGAAAGGGTCAGTATGCCTCTCCTAGTTCAGTGTCCTAAGGCCCAGTCAACTCCTTCAGGCTTCCCACCTCCTGTCTTTTCACAGACCTGACCCACAATGTCTGATTTGGGGGCAGGAGGGAGGGTGAAAGGTGAAACCAAGGACAGCTGAAGGGAAGACAGTCTAGTTGGCTGCCTTGATACCATTCTGACCAGAGCTGTGCTCCTCCCATCCTCTCTTCCCTCCACTCTGCCTCTGCCTTCCCCAAGATGTGTTTTACCCACACACATTCCTCCCATACCTTACTCCATTCTTGGCTGGCAATTCACTGGGGGATAGACTTGAGAGAGGGTCACTTCCCTCAGCAGCAGGGAGAGGAGGCAGGTCCAAGGGAGAACAAAGAAGGGACACTTTTCTCCTACCAGAGGCCATGTTAGGGGGCTTTTCAGAACGTTTGGGACCTATTCCCTCTCCTCAGCCCTTATATCTATGCTTAAGGATACAAAGGACCCTTAACAATAAGGATCTTCATTCAAAATTGTACCCCATCAGTTCACATCATATATAGTCAAAGAAATAGTTCGCATCACACATCATTTTGACAAGAATGTGGGTCTTGTGAAAGGTAGCTCTGGGCACATTTTTTTCCTATGTACTTTTCTCTCTCATTCACATATGCCTCCAGCTTATACACACCCAGTTCACATATAAATATACATGTACCGACCCCAAAACAGGCAGTCACTCAAATACACTCATACACATACATGTTCCAGGCGGCCCTTCTCCCCAGAGTTTCTCTTTAGAGACTAATAGTTTGGACAAAATTTTAGAACTTCCAACCACTACTCAAAGCCAGGGATAGCCTCAGATCCAAAAATGGGAAAAGCCACAGAGTTTTGTTTATCAAGGTAGCCCTCCAAATCTTTAGGTTACCTTATAGTGACCAGTTAAATATATTTTTCTTTTCCCCAAGCTGGGTGTGGGTTACCTTGGCAACGAGGGTCATATCTACTCCCTATTTTCCAAGCCTTTTAGGTAGAGAAAACAGCCGGCACAACCAAGCAGGCAAGCAAACACTGTGCGCTAAGGGTAAACAGGGCAAGGTTTCCCCCATACCATGCAGAGCCTGGGAGGTGGGGCCAGGAAATGGGAAAGGCTGCCCTGTTGGCCAGGCCCCTGTTTTAGACACATAGCCTCTGGTCCATCCTAGTTCCTCCTGAAAAATTCTCGAAATTTCATCTACTTTCCACTCAAGATACTATCCTTACTAGATAGGGCTCTCATTCTGTTCATTTCAATATTGGTATCAAATAATAGTACTATCCTTACTAGATAGGGCTCTCATTCTGTTCATTTCAATATTGGTATCAAATAATAGTACTGTCAGCAAGAGACACTATAATCTGACTTTGGTTTAGGATTTTGGTTCTTGACAAAGTTAGTTTACCTCATTGACAAAGTTAGTTTACCTCAGTAGCCTCATCTGTAAATTACAATGGCTACCTCAGAGGTGAAATAATGTAGGTAAATTTAGCATTTGATGGTAACTCTAAGACCTAGTATAAGAACCAGTTTTCTTGATACTAGCTGCATATGAATACAGATATTTTCTTGTTCACACATATCTTCTCCCACAGACTCCCATATGCATGTCTACACAGACTCGTAGATTACTCACACTTCTCTCTCACACATACTCTCTCCCCCTGAGTTTTCTGTAGCTCTTGTGGTTACAAATCCCTTTGACATGTGACCAAAGCATCAGCCCATTCTGAAAAAGAGATAGTAAGACTCCTGAGAAAAGGAGGAGGAGGAAGTCAAAAAGAAGATGGTGATAAGGGAGTAAGACCTTTCCCAAAGACTCTTCTCCCTAAACTGTTGAGGTAATTCCCCTTCATCTAGAATCCAGAACTCTGTTAGTTATGGGAAGATAGTACCTGCATAGAAAGGGTCCTGGAGCTCAGGAACTAATCCTGTGGCTTTGTTGCAGCTGGCTTGGCTGAGGGCTTCTTGGCTGATGGACTCAAAGGTCTCCATCCTGACAACAGTGCTGGCTGGAGCAGGACCAGCTTGAGCCACCCCCCAAGCTTTTTAAAGGCTCTTTGTCTTGTACCCCAGAGCTGGCAGCTGAATGAGCTCACTGTGCTATATTTGGAATCTGGCCCCCTCCCTCTCTAGGCTGCCCTACAAGCTCTGGTGTGATGGACGTGAGCACCTGCCTATACTTCCCCTCACCCCATTCCACTGGACAATAAGATCTGCTGGGCTAAAAATAACCTTGGGCCACTAACTACAGTTTCACCCAGCATGAAGGGAAGGGAGAGTGCTAAAGTGAGAGTTGGGGATAAGCATGGGATCCTGGGCATGCATTGGAAATTTCTTTGTGGGATATTAGGCAATCTCAGGGATGTCAGAATCTAAATTGTCAGGTCCTTAGCCTGTATCCACACTCTGTTACAAAATTCTATGAATCAAAAATCAGAATGGTAGAGGGAAGGAACAAGAGATGATAACCCTGAGATTTCCGAGGTGACACGAAATGTCTCTGAGGAGAGATATGGAGGCATAGGACAGGGATTTACAATTAGCATTTGTTCTGTAGCTCACATCAAAAATAGCAGAGCCTGAGATAAGTGGAACTAGCTTTTTCTGTCCAGGCCTACATTCTTGCCTTAGATAAGGAGCCAAAGATCCCTCCCTCTGCTACTTCCCAGGAATCTCATGACTATCTCATAGCTCCTAGTACCCAGAAATCCTAATTGAACTTTCAAATGTCAAAGGCAGTTCTGCTGCTATGCCTGCAGTTATAATGAAGAGCCCCTGACATGTGGCCAAAGCATCAGCCCATTCTGATGCCCTACTTCCTAATACTGCTCAGCCCTATGTCTGCACTCATCACTTACCCCATCTGACATCAAGCAAAATCATAGCAACAACAAGCAAACTACTGACTTATATATTCCTTTCCATAGCCTCTACTTACCATGTTTCTGGGTTAAGTTTAAACACCTGTACCTTTGGCCACACTGGCTCAAACAACAAAAAGAATGGAGAGCATGAGAATTATTTTCCTCTCCACTTGATGATTCATTTCTACTTGTCCCCAAGACTATATATCCAAGGGAAGTAAAAGTAGGTAAAATGCATAGCTTTGGGGCCCTCCCTGGTGGCGCAGTGGGTTAAAGCATAGCACTGAGAAGCTAAAGCCACTTCTGCATGAGTTCAATCCCCGCCTGTCCTAGAGGTGACCCACATGGCGTGGCAGACCACTCCTGACCCAGCCGCTGCTCCCCTCAGCAGTGTACTTCATCAATCTGCCTGTTCTGCTCCCCATTCTGTCTCTGGTGAATCCTCTCACCGCCCATGCACCTCTGGCCTGTACCCCAGTTCTGTATGAACAAATAAATAAATCTTTTTAAAAAATGCATAGTTTTGGAGTAGAGTTGTGCTAAGAATGAAAGATCTGGCTAGGGAAAAGGGGTTCAGGTACTCACTGGCTTGCTTGGCCTTCTGGGTATAAGTGGTAGTAAGATCTTCTGCTATTGGGTGAGGAACAGGCCCCACCATAGGGATGAGATGAGGGCCAGGCCGGAGGGGCCCATGGGGCAACAGCAGAGCCTCAGCTGGGGGTGGCTGAAGGGCTGCCCCCTCCTCCCAAGATGGGGAGCTCACGCGGCTGTCACCCTGGCTGGGAGGGCCAAGGACAGTAGTTACTGGCTCTGCAGGGCTGTCAGATAGGTAGATCTCATCAGATGGGGCTCCTGGAGGTATGGGCCTGGTGGGGCCCCGGCGGCGGGGTCGGCGGGGCTTTTCCTGGGTGGCAGAACCATCAGCATCACTGTCTGTCTCTCCATAGTAAGCTTCACTGTCAGGGGGTGAGAGAAGGCTCCCAGGCTGAAGAGGCTGGGGAACTGGAGCACCAGGAGGCTCAGGACTCAGGGGAGATAAGGGTGACAGCACCTGAAGTTCACGAGGGGATGGAGATCGCACAGGCCCTTCATCCTCTAACCTGGATGGGAAAGAGGACAGAACTTGAGAAATAACCCAAATGACTAAACAGCTAGAGATCTGAAGGTGATGGGAGAAGGTGATAAGGGAGAGAGAGGGTTGGCATATAGGTGGAATGGATGGATGGTCTGGGAATAGTGAAGATCTTAAGACAAATTGGGAAGCAAATATGCTTAGAGGTCTGTGAGTAGAAATGTACTTAAGAGAGATGTGATAAGGAGAGAGGCAAGGGATTGAAATAGGCCCACCAACTCATATATCCACTTGATACTCTTACTCCTTAACTGCAGAAATGTTCAAGTCATTTGAGGGGCAGGTGAAAGCTTCTAGACTCTACAAACACCATGCAGAAATGGGTACTTGTTAACAATTGAAGCCAGACCAGTAAGACACAGAACTGAGACAGGCAATGGGAGCCCTACACTAGGAGTTTGGGGGTACAGTAGAGTGGGAGGGTTCCATACCTCCGAACAGTGAGGACAAGCTGATTCCCAGAGGCATCAATGAGACTCATGGCACTGGCATGAGAGAGGCTGGTGCAGGAGACCCCATTGATGGCCAAAAGCTGGTCCCGCTCTCGGAGTCCTGCTCTGCCAGCCTGGCTGCGTCTGCGGATCTGGGAAGGTGTTGAAGACAGACTGTAGGTGAGGGAGGGCTCCAAGGAGAAACTGAATGAAGGGCGTTAGGACAGGAAGGACATATGGGAGGGGATTTCACTTTTCAGATTGCAACAGGTGGGGAAGGGCATGGAACTGAAGTTGAGGGGACTTATTTAGAGGGGAGAAGGTGTAGGTTGGAGGGAGTAATACATTACATGAGAATAGGTAATATTATCACTGAATAATGAGACTTGTGGGAAACTACAAAATACTGGAAACTGTGTTTATAGCCCCTCAAGATTTTCCTCCAATATACTAGTCAATGGCACTCTTCTAGGCCTTGGAATCCCGGGTGCCATTGCCTACACAGTAAAAAATTTACAATAGCATTCCAGTTTGGAGGGAGTCCAGCAAATTCTGAGAGGAGGTTGTGATTATGTGTATACATGTGTGCCATGTATGTACTCACATGTACATGTTAGAATAATAATAGCGGCTACCATTTATTGAGTGCTTATTAAATGTTAGGCACTGTGCTAAAACCTCTACATGTAGTACTGTATTAAGTTCTTACAATGGTTCTGTGAATTACTATACATATCTTACAGTTAAGAAAACTAAGCCTATATAGTGAAACCCAAAAGGGTAACAACTTCATCTGACAGGCCAGATCTTGCCATAACCCTCCCACCACCTAAAAAAAAAAAACAGTCTTGCCTAGTGAGAGAAAAGATCTGTTCAGGGAAAGAGGCACACTAAAGGCTTGGGCAGGGCAGGGCAGGACTGGACTGAGCTGGCCTGAGCTGGGCTCGGTGAGACAGCCTCAGCTCATCACATTTAGTTAGAGAGAAATTAGAACATTCCCTACATTCCTGGAGTTTAGTATAGAGGCACAGATCCAGGAAAGCAGACTGGATGGCCAGACTTATGCCTCTTCTACAGTCGTGCCACAGGGAATGAAGGTAATCTTTCTCTCCATTTCCAGAAACCAGGAATTTCTACTTCTAGTAACCCCCACAAGAAGTCTATGCTTAAACACTACTCCCCCACCATATTTGAACATGCGAACCTGCCCGCCCCCACTCTCTTTATCACAACCCCCCACTTCTTCCCTATGGGTCACCACATAAATTCCCAGGTTCCCATAGGTTCCCCTTTTCCTGAAACCTCAATGTAGGGGCTCACCCTTACCTTGGACACCTGTAAGGGTTTCCTCTGCTCGGACCCCCCCTGAAGTCGGAATCCCCAGGGGGCTCCCCCTGACAGTGTGACCAGCACCTTCTCCTCAGCACCCATCGCTCAGTTTGGCTTATGGCCCTCGGAGTTTGGCCAGTGCCCCAGAGACTGAAGTCGAGGTGCTTGTACCCCGTCCGGCCTGTATGGCTGTCCAGCTCCTGCTGTCCCAGGCCTTCTCACCCACAATCCCCCCCCACACACACACACACCACAGGCAGGCAAATTGGCCCTGGGATCAGTACAGTCCAGCACACGTGTCCTGTCAATCGGAGCTGTGCTCAAAATAGTTATGGGCTGTACTCTCATCCCTCCCCCAGCTGTATAACTCCCAGAGCTAATTATAGTAAAAACTTCTGCCCTCCCCTGCCACCCACCCCCCTGCATGGGCCTTTACTCAGGATTCAGATACCAAACCCTGGGCTGGATACCCTTTCAGCAACTGTGCTTTCCCTGATAGGATCAGGGACTGTTTTCCTCCAAAGCTCATTTCAAAGCAGCTCACCCAAATTAAAGGGGCTTTAATTCCAGAGTAAGGAATTGCTAGATTTGTCACACAAGATCCCAAGACACCCAGAAAACTATCCCTTTAATGTGTAAATATAACTAGTAATCAAAGAGGAGATTTATATCCCACTGCTAGATGTAGAGGAATTCTGATCAGCCCTGTCTGCCCCAGTTAAGCTGTTTCTTCTTTGGTTAAGTCTTTCTTATCTCTCTCCTGACTCCCTACCTATACAATTAATCCCCCCTTCCTCTGGGCAACTTAGCTCTTGTTCATGGTGCTATAGTATATTTATTTCCCACCTAGTATCATAGTTGGTTTATAGCGTGTCTCCCTGACAGATTGTGAGAAACATGAAAGCAAGGATGCAACAATCAACGGCCCAATGAGCAATGGCTGACATAATGGGTGCTCAATAAATGTTTTACTGAAATTATTTCTTATAATACAAAGGTAGTCGTGGAAAGGTGAATATAGATTGGTGTTCATAAACATGCCAACCCATGCTAATAATAAAAGATCTACTTACTTTTAAGATGCCATTACCTGAACATGCCCTACATTATGAAATAGTTCTGTAATAAAGCATAACATTATGATGTTATAAAATATAATTATCAAAACTACAGCATTCCTGGAATAACTACTTTCCCAGTGTGTTAGATGTTTGCCTTGGCATATGATGCAGTCATAGAAAACATTTGGATTTTAGAGTCAGAATAACTGGACTTGAACTCTTGTTCCATTATTTATTAGCTGTATGACCATGGGCAGTTACTTGAACTTATTAGAAAAAAAAAGTATCTCAACATCCATTCAGTCACTTGTCAAACATTCATTGAGAGACAGTTAAATGTCAGCCATTGTGCTATACCAGTGTAATTCAAATACATGCACATTAGAATCATCTGGAAAACTCTTAAAGTTACTGGCTCCCTAAAATAAGACAGTGTATATAGGGTTAGATGATTCTATCATTAAAAACTTATTATTGTTGTTATATATTATTATATGTGTAATATAATATAATATATACTATTAATGTATAAAAATGATTCTCAGACCTCAGTCCTGAGGATTCTGATTTTATTGGCCTGGTAAGTATATGGTATTGCCAGTTTTAAAAGTCCCACAGATGATTCTAATATACCAACATGATTGAGAGCCAGAGTAGGGGGATACAGAATCATTTAAATGCAACATACCATCCTGCAGAAATTATGAATGTAGCTGCTACCATTTACTAGGAGTGAAACTTAAGAAAGGGGAAACCCACTTGCCTATGCTGACATGAGATTTAAATGGGATAAATTATGTCAAAATGCTAGCAGAAGCCTCAGTCATGGGGAGACTAGAAGGCCCAGCCAGATACCTAACAAATGTTAGTTGAATTTGGCAAATTATTAATCTAGACTGGAGAATCTTAATCCTAAACTGAGAGTATATTAACAAACCATGGCTTATTGGACTTCACCTCCAGAATTTCTGATTCAGTATACCTTGGGGAAGGGGTCTGAAATTTGTATTACCTCACCCCTACTTTTCCAATTGAGTTTTATTCCAGAACCAGTGGTTTTGCAACAAAGCTGATTTAAAGCCTGGGATGTTTCCCCACTGGGGAAATAATAGCTCCTTCATCTTTCAAACAATCCAAACCAAAAAGATAAAGCTACTACTCAGCAGTTGAAATCTGTATTTCTAACAAGTTTCCAGATGATACTGATATTTTTGATCCCAGGATCACACTGTGAGAACCACAGTGTGATAGCATTATAACTTTTGAGGATAGGAACAATCTGCCTGTTTATTATTGCAATTTCCATTACAGTCTAGAAGTACAAGTTCTCCAATTTTCACCCTGAGCCTCAAAACGACTAATATATACTGTCAACAATATGAGTGTGAGGTCCTCCGGGTGGTGCTGGGGTTAAACTCTCAGCACTATCAAGCTATTGCCAGCCACTGAGGTATGAGCTGCATCCTAGGCCAGGGAGCTGACCCACACGGTGCAGTAGACCTCTCATAACTCGCCCGCACAGCAGTGTATTTCAGTCTATCTATTGCCTGTTCTACTCCCAACTCTCTCTGGTGAATCCTCTTCCCGCCTCTTCCTCCTCCCCACACCCCAGCTCTTGTATGCATCAATCTTAAAAAAACAAACAAACAAGTACTAGATGAATATTTAGTATATCCAGTTCACAAAGAAAGTCACCTGAAGCCAAGATTTAACTACTCAAGCCGCCGGAATGCAGACAAACTTGAAACCCAAAAGTATTATTAGTGCCCTTTGCCAAAATAAGTTTTTGAAATTTCCAGACCAGCAAAAGTCAGGGGTGAGCACAACATCAGACTTAAACCAATGAGGTTAGGGGTCAGCAGGAATTGGCTACAGAATTTTAGATCAGAGGTCACTAATATGTCAACGGCGGATTGAGCGGGCATTACTTAAAATAGTTTCACTTAACTTTCTCAATTGCTGCTCATAACCATAAGGTTACAAGGATATCTAAATATATATATATATATATATATATATATATACACATCGCAAATGCATATGAATCTGCCGACTCTGAGGCAGCCACGCTAGAGGGATGAGCGCATGCGTGACATCCGGGTTCCGGCGCGTACGCTGTTTGCAGACGTGGCAGAAGGAGTGTCCCGGGTCTGAAGCGTGGGGGTGGAACTTCCGCGGATGACGCGCCGACCCCTCGGAACCGGAAGTGGAGCCTGGGAGCCTTGACGTTAGGGCCGAAGTCGAACCTGGATCTGGAGCCGGGTGAGGAGGGGCTTCGGGAGACTGGTGGGTAGGAAAGCAGAAAGGCCCGGGTATTACTGGACAGATTGGGGTCCGAGCTGAAAAGGAAGGGAGGAGCCGAGAGGCGGTGTCCCGGAGACCCTTAACTAACGCATCCTCAACCCTGGATCAGTCCTAGACCCTCCCTCTCTCCTCCCGGCCCAGATTCCGGCTCCAGCTTCCTGCCCCGAGCTAGTGAAGGGCGCAGGACGCTCGGTCTCCAGGTTCAATGTACCGGGTTTCTCTTTCTTCGGGGCCCGACAAGCTGGTTTTCCTTTTCGATCTTTATCCCCGTCTGTCCCAGCCTCCACAGCTCGACGGCTTTGCTAGTATTAGGAACCTTGCCCCGCCCCCTGGGTTGTCACCCTTGACTGTCCGTTCAGAATGGAGTGGAGACTTGAGCTCGACTCCGGACTCATGCTGGACTCCAAATTCTTGCATGTGTGTGAGAGAATTATTTCCTGGAAAAAGAAGTGCCGTTCGTTCACCGGCTCCCCCGTATTGATTTTAGTAAGATAAGGGGGAGAGGGTAGACCTCTGGCAGTGTTGTGACCTGTGCAAGGTTTAGGATTTGAAAGAGCAGCTTCTGAGATAGCTTTGAATTTAGAGTTTTGATTCAAGAGCAGCTCTGCTTATCCATAATCAAGATGGCCCTTCCCAGTGAGGAGAGAGGCCCATTGTTTGATTCAGGCTTGAACGGTCTAGCTTCCTGTGAACCTTCTTGCTTTGAGGCTAGTTGGATTGGTAAACTGTTTACATGTGATCAACTATTCCTGTTTTTAGAAGAGCCCTGGAAAGACTCTCTAATTCATTCTTCTATCATTAAACAAGGTAGTGCTAATTTTAATTTTGATGGTGGTGTAGATTCATGAACAGCATCTAAGAAGAGCAGAAAGGAGATTTGGAGAAGTGCATGGGAGTTTGGAATACTCATAGTCTCTGTGATTGAAGGAAAAGGTGAATCTAACTTTGCCACTGATCTTGAACTATTTCCCAGGTTATTGTGAGAAGTTTTTGTGTCTGATCAGTATCAGTTCTATTCTAGTGTGGTAAAGTTTTCAGGTATCCTTTACATACAGTGATTTCAATTCTTCTGAGGTACATACACTTTTGGTGGGCAGACTGGGTAGCATTTGAATGTTTGCCATTTAGCTACAGAATGGCATTTTTCTGATTAGTGATTTTAAAATTTGTCATAAGTGAAGGGAAATTAGCTGATTAAAAGTGATTAACATATTAGCTGGTTTTAAGTGTTTGTTGAATGAATGGATGCTAGAGTGAATCAATAAAAATTGTTTCATTTACCTGTAATAATACTGTAGTTTCTCCATCACAACTCCTTGTGCGACTGGACACTAGAAATCATACCGCTAGGGAATGGAGGCTGCTGTTTCATTCCATTGAGCTTATCTGAAGTTGAAATTTATACCACCTCGGCAGTGACAACCACAAGCCTTAGAGTAACAAAATCCTTACTCTGAGGAGGTGACCTGGCTACTGACTAAAGCAGAAAATTACAAAGATCTTGTGGTAGTGTGGGAATGTTTAGACTGATCACTGCTTGATAAGGTTTATTTTTTATCTCTACACCCTACCCTAAATAGTCATTTAGAACATTGCTTTTGACTAATTTCTCTCCTTTCATCTAATAGGTGAGACCAAATCGGGGATGCTCTCATAATGAACGTCAACCAGTCAGCTCCACCTGTGCCGCCGTTTGGGCAGCCCCAACCTGTCTACCCAGGGTATCATCAATCCAGC